AGAATTTCATATATTTATTCTAAGGAAACTCAATCAGATGGAAGAGAAATCTGAAAACCAATACAAAGAAATCAGAAAATCAATTCAGAATATGAATGATAAATTTACCAAGGAGGTAGACATCATTTAAAGAAACAGAAATTCTGGAGCTGAAAAACTCATTGAAGGAAATACAAAACACATTGAAAACCTATGAAAATAGACTAGACCAAGCAGAAGAAAAGACCTCAGAATTTGAAGATAGTTCTTTTGAAATAATCCAGTCAGACCAATAATAATAATAATTACAAAAATGAGCAAAGCCTTCAAGATGTATGGGACTATGTAAAGTAACCATACTTAGGAACTATCAGTATCCCACAGGTAGAAGAAGTATTAAAATATTTAGAAAACCTGGTTAAAGAAAATAATCGATGAAAACTTCCCAGGACTAGCAACAGAGTTAGACATTCAGATATAAGAGCCTAATGTTCCCTAAGCAAATACAATGCAAAAAGGAATTTACCAAGGAATATTATAATAAGAATGACTAAAGTCAAAGTGAGAGAAAGGATTTTAAAATTAGCAAAAGTGTCTAGTCACCTATAAAGGAAAACCCATCAGACTATAGCAGACTTCTCAACAGAAATCTTATAGTCCAGAAGAAAATGGGATTAGATTTTCAATGTTTAGAAAGAACAAAACCACCACAAAAAAAAGAATATAAAGCCAAGAACTTTATATTCTGCTGGAAAGAACTTCATAAATGAAGGAGAAATAAAGTCTTTCCCAGACAAGCAAATTCTAAGCAAATTCATCATCATTAGACCAGCCCTACATGAAATATTCAAAGGAGTCTTAAACATGAAAATGAAAGGTCAATATTCACCATCATGAATACACAGAAAAATATAAAACTCACATGTCTCATAAAACTATCCCACAAAGAAGGAAGAGAAAGGAATTAAATGGAAACATGACAAAAATTCAGCAAAACACAAAGACAAAAAGAGCACACTATCTAGGGGATAGACAGGCTTGAAGCTATGACTATGGTGGAGCAAAGACAATATACATAACCTAAACATTTGTACCCCCATAATATGCTGAAATAAAAAAATGTTTAAAAAGAAGAAAGGAACAAAAAATATAAAAAACAACCAGAAATCAATTAACAATATGACAAGAACACAGCCTCAAATATCAATATTAACCTTGAACATAAATGGATTAAATGCTCCATTTAAAAGATAAAAAATGATCCAACTATATCCTGCTTACCAGAAATTCATCCTACCCATAAGGACAAATATAGACTCAAAGTAAAGGGATGGAAAAGGGATATTCCATACAAAGGAAAACAAAAAGTGAGCAGCAGTAGCTATACCAATATAAAACTGACTTTAAATCAAAAACAGAAAAAACACAAAGAAGGTTATTATATAATAATAAAGAGATGGGATCAATACAGCAAGATGATATAATGATTTCAAATATATACAAACCCAACATCAGAACACTCAGATTCAGAAACAAATATTGCTAGACATAAAGAAAGAGATACACAGCAATAAAATAATAGTGGGAGATTTCAACACCCCACTCAAAGCACTAGACAGCTCATCAAGACAGAAAATCAACAACAAAAAAATTGGACTTAAATTGGCCTTCAGACCAAATGGACTTAACAGACATTTATAGAACATTCCATCTGCTATCAATAGATTACACATTCTTTTCATCAGCACATGGAACACTCCCCCAACAGACTGCATTATGGGCCACAAAATAAGTATTAACAAATTTTTAAAATCCTGTCAAGTATCATCTTAGACCACAGTGTAATTAAGCTAGAAATCAATATGAAGAGGAACTTCAGAAACTATACAAACACATGGAAATGAAATGACATGCTCCTGAAGGACCACTGAGTCAATGAAGAAATAAAGACCAAAAAGTTTCAAAAAATTTGAAATGAATGAAAATGAAAACACAGCATATCAAAACCTGTGGAATACAGATAAAGAGGAAAATTTATAGTATTTTGGGCCTACATCAAAAAGTGGAAAGATTACAATCAATAACCAAACACTACCTGAAGGATCCAGAAAAACAAGAACAAACAAAAGCCAGAGATTCCAAAAGAAAAGAAATAACAAAGATCAAAGTGGAACTAAATGAATTATTGCCCATAAAAACCAATACAAATAATAGACTTGGTACTTTGAAAAGAAAAAATGGATATACCATTAGTTAGACTAACTAAGAAAAGAAGAGATAAGATATATATATCAGAAATGAAAAAGGAGACATTGTAATTGATATCACAGGTACAGGTACAGAAACTCATGCCTATAGTCCTAGCACTTTGGAAGGCTGTGGCAGGAGGACTGCCTGAGGCCAGGAGTTTGAGACAAGTTTGGGCAACATAGGGAGACCCTATCGCTTAAGGAAATTAAAAAAAAACACAAAAACTTAGCACAGTGCAGAGGCATGTTCCTGTCATCTCAGCTACTCAGGAGGCTGAGGCAAGAGGATCTCTTGAACCCAGTGGTTTGAGGTTACATTGAACCTTGATGACACCATTGCACTCTAGCTCAGGAAACACAGTGAAACCATGTTTCACAAAAGCAAAAAATACAAAAGATCATCATAGACTGTTATGAACAACTATATGTTCACAAACTGGAGAACCTAGAGGAAATGGATGAATTTCTGAAAACATACAAATTCCTGAGATTAAATGGGAAAAAATAAAAATCCTGAATAGACCAATGCCAAGTAGTGAGATCAAATCAGTAATCAAAAGTATCCCAACAAGAAAAAAAAGTTTAGGAGCAGATGAATTAACAGCCAAATTCTGCCAGATGTACAAAGAACTGATGCCAATCCTACTGAAACTGTTCTAAAAAATCAAGAAGAAAAGAATCCTCCCTAACTCACTCTATAAAGTCAGTATCACCCTGATACTAAAGTCAGGAAAGGACACAACAAAAAATGAAAACTACAGAACATATATCTGATGAACATAGTCACAAAAATCCTCAACAAAATACTAGCAAACCAAATCCAACAGCACATCAAAGGATAATTCACCACGATCAAATGTATTTTGTCTTAGGAATGCAAGGATGGTTCAACATATGTAAATCAATAAATGTGAATCACCACTTAAATAAAATTAAAATCAAAAATCATATTATCATCTCAATAGATGCAGAAAAAGTGTTCAATAAAATGCACCATCTCCTCATAATAAAAGTCCTCAAAACACTTGGAAGGAACATACCTCAAAATAATAAAAGCCATATATGACAAACCCACAGGCAACATGATACTGAGTAGGGAAAAGTTCAAAGCACTTTCTCTGAAAACTGGAACAATGCAAAGATGCCCATTTTCACCACTTCCATTCAACATAGTAACGGAAGTCCTAGTCAGAGAAATGAGGCAAGAGAAAGAAATAAAAGTGTACCCAAATTGGAAGACAGGAAGTCAAATTGTCTGTTTGATTGTGATATTATTTTATACCTAGAAAACCCTAAGGAGGCTTCTGAAAGTCTCCTAGATTTGATAAATGAATTCAAGAAAGTCTCACGCTATAAAATCAATGTACAAAAATAAAAAAAAGTCTATATACCAACAATGACCAAGCTGAGAACCAAATCAAAAACCCAATCCCATTTACAATAGGTGCAAAATAAATAAATAAATAAAACACCTAGGAATAAATTTACCAAGGAGGTGAAAAATCTTTACACGGAGCACAAGGAGATCTACAAATCAATGATGAAATAAATCAGAGACCAAAAAAAAAAAAAAAAAGAAAGCATCCCATGCTCATGGATCAGAAGGATCAATATTGTTTAAATGACCATACTTCCCAAAGCAATCTACAAATACAATGCAATTCCCATCAAAATACCAAATCACCTTCATTTTTCACAGAACTAGAAAAATTTTGTTTCATTTGTATAGGATAACTTTTTCTATTCCTTTACCTTCAATAAATAAGTGTTTTTATCAGTGAAATGTGTTTCTTGCAGACAACATATAGTTGGCTCCTGTTTTTAATCCATTCAGCTGCTTTATGCCTGTCAACTGGAAAGTTTAGACCTTTCTTATTCTACATTATTATTGATAGGTGAGGGGTTATATCTGCCATGTTGTTATTTGATGTCTGGTTGTTTTGTTTCACTTTCTTTCTTACTTTCTTCCTGTCTTCCTTTGTTAAAAGTGATTTTTCTCTGATAGCATGTTTTAATTCCTTGAGTTTTACTTATTTGCACAACCATGGTAGGTTTTTTGATTTGATGTTACCATGAGGCTTGCAAAAAGCATTTTATAAACAACTATTTAAAACATATGACAACCCTGTCTACTAACAAACAAACATTCTAAAATTTATATGGAAGCAATCCAAGCAAAAAGAACAAAAATGGAATCATCACATTACCTGACTTCAAATTATACTATAGGGATATAGTAACCAAAACACCATGGTACTGGCATAAAAGTAGAGACATAGATTGATGGAACAGAATAGAGAACCCCAAAATAAGACATATACCTACAACCACCTATTCTTCAACAAAGCAGACAAAAATACACACTGGGGAAAAGAAGCTCTATTCAATAAATGGTCATGGGAAAATTGGGTAACCATATGCAGAAGAATGAAACTGGATCTCTATCTTTCACCATATACAGAAATTAAATGAAGATAGATCAAAGAATTAAATGTAAGATCTTGAACCATACAAATCCTAGAATTATACCTAGGAAAAACTCTTTTGGATATTATCCTAGGCAAAGAATTTATGATTAAGACCCCAAAAGCAAATGCAACAAAGCCCAAAATAGACAAATTTGACTAAATTAAACTAAACAGCTTCTGCATAGCAAAAGAAATAATCAACAAAGTAAACAGACAACATACAGAATAAGAGAAAATATTTGCAAACTGTGTCTGACTAAGGACTAATATCCAGAATCTACAAGGAATGAAAAGAAATCAGCAAGAAAAAAGAAAAAAAACAACCTCATTAGAAAGTGGGCAAATGACATGAAATGCATTTTTCAAAAGATATACAAATGGGACGAAAATTCACTGATGGGGTGCAATGTACAATTCTCAGGTGATGGGTACGCTAAAAGCCCAGATTCCACCACTATACAATATATACAAATAACAGAAGTCATCTTGTACCCCATAAATCTATGAAAATAAAACAATTGTAAAATGATTGAATCTTTAATAAACAGTCACTGGTACTATGTATTTGGTTTTGAGTCTCTTGGGTTATCAGTGGATTTTACAGATATATTATATATTTTTTATATATATATTATTCCCAGACCCTTCCTCCTGTTTCTTTGGGGATTGAGAGTGATTGTTTAAACACAGAAAGAGAAGATATTTTTCCAAGGAGAGTGGTTCTGACCACAGAGCCAAGACATTCTGAGCACAGGAGGGATGCCCTCTGTGCTAACTACGCTGCCAAAATCTACCAACCACCTCCTGGGTTCTGTCCAGGGCAGAGCCCAGGGGTCTGGACTTCTGTTTCTTAGAGCCATGTACCAGATGGGTGGGGAGTTAAAGAAAAAATCGTCCAATGCCACTTTTTAAAAGCACAATACAGAAGACTTTATTCAAAACCAATACAATAGGTATAGGGACCACAGTAATGGGATTTTGCAGTGGGGAAAAGAAAATGGTCTGAATGAATATAGCATGGGCAACTTGGAATTTACAGCCAAGGAGTAGGGTGGCCTGTAAATGGAAAATTAGTAAGAGGAAACATCAGAGGTAAGAGATTCTGGTTAAACCATTCTAACTGGGTTCTTACTGTTGGCTGGTGAAGGTGACCAGACATCACCTGGGGATGGTGGAGAATGAGGAACCCGGGAAGATACAGAGGGTGATCAGATATCTAGGGTTCCACTGACTTACCAGGATTCTTGCTAAAATTAGACAGTGCAGAAGTGAACACAGAAGCCCAGAAGTTGGGTCCAGTTGGAACAGAGCTCAGGGCAGCCTGAGTCACCAGTGGTCAATGGAGAACATGGAGTCTGGGCAGACACTGGGGGAGTAGAGTCCAGCCAAGAATCACAAAGCACATGGGCCTTAATTAATGGAGGGATCTCAGATCAGACAGCGTGTTTCTCTTTCCTTGAAGAAATGTGATCAACAGGACTGAGTCTCTCCTGGGCTTGAGACCCAGATCTGTGGAAAACCCCAGGTCTGTGCCCTGGGAGAGGCTGAGACCCCTGGTCTGAGACAGGAGGTGGGGCATGGGACATAGCCAACGCTGCAGGCCCCTCCTCCCTTGTCATCAGACCACACCCTGCTGCTTGCAAGGATGTGAGGGGAGTGCCTTCCTCAGGACCCCAGCTCTGCCTGAAACTCACCTGGTGCCCACAGCCTGGCCAGCCTTTCCATTGACTGTGACCCTGAAAAATCTCAGGTCCTTCCCTCGATATCCTGATTGACACGAACCCTGGGAGGCCAATGCCAGCCTCAGGAGCCCAGGGCAGAGTGGAATCCTCAGCTTCCTCCCTCCTGTGACTTAGGATGTCAGACGAGGCCACTGGAGACATCAGACCTAACAGATGCTTTTAACTATCTGGAAGCACTGGGCCCTGCCGGACAGAAAATGAAAAACAAATGAAGAGCCACAGAAACGTAAAAGCCTTTAAAGGTATAAGAGAAGCTTTTAGAGCCAAGGAAAAGCAGAAGGGCCCTCAGTACCCAGCAGACTGGGACGCAGGTGCAGACTTCCATGAATATACAGAAGGAGGAAACGCTGGGAAGACGCCAAGTCATCAGGGATATGAGACCTCGCCTCACCAGTCAGGGAGGCAGTGTTCTGTGCCATCAATGGGCGCAAGGAGGCCCACCAGGGCCACAGACCAGAATCTACCACCATGCCAGACTTACCTGGGTATCTTCAGGCTGCACAGTGCAAAACGCCCTGTCCACCAACCTTTGCACAAACAATTGCTTCCTTAAGGCACTCGCATCTGTAGACTTGGGAGCTCTCAATTTAGAGTGAAGATATTAAAGAACATCAGCCTAGTCATGTCGCACCTCTTCTCTCAGACCAGTACCCCCTTTAGCACCCTCTAATGACAGGGCCTACCTGGGCCAGGGGGAGAGCAGGGGGTCAGGTGCCAGAGCGGCAGCCCAGCATCACGGGGGGTGGAGGGGTAGGGGAAGGGTGTCATAGCACCCGGGGTGCAGCCTGCCCTGGAGAACACGAAGGAGACCAGGCCTGAGTATCGTGTCCGTGTGCTCAAGACCTCTGTGCCGTGCACCTCGCAGATATGACAATAGGAAGCTCTCAGGAGAATTTTATGGTTCCCTTTTTTCACGTGGGGAATCTGAGAGTTTGTTTGCAAATTTCTTGCCTAAGAATTGTCAGCCTGTTAGTTACGGAAGCAGAACCGGTCAGTTTCTCAGCTTCCATCTACCCTGTCTACTATCCAGCCAGCCAGCCAGCCATCTGTCATTTGTATCTGTCTGCCAATCTATCTATGTACGTATGATCTATGAATATGTGCATCTGTGTATCTATGAACTATCTATGTATTTATCCCTCTGTGATTTATGTATCCATGCATCTATTTATCCGTCTATCTGTTAACAGCGTGTGGCTTTAAGCTGGACATGGGTTCAACCTAGTTGTGAAATGTCTTACTAGAAGCACCTTCTGGAAACCAAGGCCTCCCTGTGGCTCTATCAGGGGAAGCTCGAGTGGGGCCCGAGAGCTGACCACCTCCCTTCCTGTGAGACTGTGGGCATTGAGCCCATGTCGAGGCCCTGTGAGCACACCCTGCACACTTCCTGACCGCAGGGCCTGTCCTGCCACCACAGGAGGAGGGCGAAGAGTCCTGGAGAGTCCAGGCCATGCACCTCCCTGAAGGAAGCAAGCGAGCTGTCCTGGGGTCAGATAGGCTGAGACCCCAAGTCAGCAGAACAGGAGCCCATTGCTTGTTACCACTATTAGCAGGACGTGGCTTGTTGACCTGTTGAAGAAACTGTTTCTCCAGGCAAACGTCCAAGAACCTGTGGCCTCGCGTGCGAGCCAAGGTTGCCTGGTAACCAGCACGCAGTGCTAGGTGCTGCAAGATGGTCAAGGATTTTTCAGTCTCACACTCGAGCCAAGATCGTTTGTTATCTGAAGGCGGTACACAGTACAAAACATCAAAGAGATCTCTTGTAGAAGGCCATGCTTTTTTCTTTGACTGGAAAAGCAGGTGTTGTTGGCCATGGGAAGTCACATACCAAAAAGTAGCTGGGAAAGTAGCTGGCATGAGAAAATAGCTGTGGGACACTTGCCCAATTTAACTGTATATAAATAAATGATGAGCACGTTTTCAGTGCTGCAGTCTGAAACCGTCTCTTGTCTCTGTGTCCTTTTTTCTTCAGGGACTGCAGCCAATTCTGTCTGTCGGTGTCTTTTGTATATGTTCTGTGTGTGTCATCCCCGTTCTGTAATCGGGCCACGACACCCCCTATCCCTTGACAGTCTTTTCTTGACTGCTCCACACACCTGGACTATGTCAGTGATTGATTTCCAGACATGTCAGGTTCCCAATATCTAAAACTCGACCCATGCTTTGCGCCATATAAACCTGCTTCTCCATTACCCACACGCCACATTCTGTTCTCAGCCAGCATCATCAGTCCTGGGCCGCATGACACACAATCATCCTTAATTTCCCCTTTTGTCCACCCACATTGAATTGACCACAGAATACTTTTGACTTTCACTCCCTAAATGTTCTTACATCACAGCTCTTGCTAGACATTCTCTTCCAAGATCTGAAACTCCACCAGAGATCTTATGGCAGCTTCAGTATACCACCAGGGATGTAGACTCCTTCGTTCTGCTCTGGAATCTTAGTCATCTGCCACGAGCATTAAGATCACCTCTTGTTGCAAGATGGCTGCTGTTGCTCCAGCCACCACATCTGTCTGCAGGCTGGAAGGGGAGGAAAGGCAGAAATAAGAAAAAGGCCTTCCTGGCCTAATTGCTACTTTTAAATTACCCTTCCTGGGAATCTAACCAACAAGGCCTCATCTCAGTGGCTTAGACATGGTAACAGAACAGCTGCACAGAACTGATCCTGCAGTTGCCAAGTATTGTCTGTTTTTCCATGAAGCACTATGCCCAGCTAAAAATGAGATTCAATGATTCAAATGATTCAAATGAGAATGTGCAGTGCAGATGTGGTGCAGGCAATCACAGTCTTGCATCATTTCCCTCTTGTCCCTCACCAGAAGGAAAGGCTGTTTCCTCACAGTGGACCCTGAGGCCCCCCTCTGCTTCCCTCCTAGGGCCCCTGCCCAGACCCTCCATCTCGGCTGAGCCAGACTCCATGATTCTCTGGGGATGGCCTGTGACTGTGGTGTTCTAGGGACCTGCTGGGGCTGAAACAATCCACCTGGCGAGGGAGACTCCAATCCCCAAATTCGTGAATGTTAATTCTGTGCCTGGTCCGTCTGACGTGGAGGCCAGATTTCTCATTGACACATTCAGGGAAGTCAAGGCTGGGAGTTATTACTGCATCCATTGTAAAAGTTCCCGCTGGTGTGAGCGCAGTGAATCCCTGGAGCGGGCGGCAACAGGTGAGGATGTCAGCAGCCACACCCCCGTCTCAGGTTCGTCCTCTGGTCCCCGGACCTGTCCCAGCTTTCGTCCTCTGTCCACAGACTCCCTGCCCTCCTCCTGACCCCAAGCCCTCCCCCCTCTCCCGCTCTGCACACGAATCCCCTCTGCCCTCACATCCTCTTAGGGCTCTGGAGCCCTGGTGTCGTCTGGGCACCACGGATGGGCTGGCCACTCAGCCCCAGCATTGGGTGGGCACAGAGCTGGCCCTGCGGGGCAGGGTGGGGAGTGGGTTCGCAGGGTGGGTGGGGGAACACAAGCCCTCAGGAAGTGTGTATAATTCCTGTCAAGACAGTGCATGAAACACATCTTTTCCACTCAGCCCAAACTTGTGGCGGCTCCAGGCCATGTCCCCTCTGCTGTGGTCCGCCTCCCACTGGGCAGGTCACAGGGCCCAGGCTGGTCCCTGAGCAGGCTGGATGGCGCTTTTGGGATGACGTCATCTGTGCCTGTGTCCGTGGTTAATCCCGGAGACGTTATGGAGCAGGGTCCAGTGAGGAGGGTCCCACTCAACCAAGGGACAGAGGTGGGCACTTTCTTCTCTTAGATCAGAGCATGTTTTCTCTTCATTATGCTGTGACTCACACGTCCCAAAGACCTGACGCAGTGTGCTGGGGTGGCCCCCATTGTTCAAATTTGGGGCACATTCATCTCATTTACCCTGAGTCTGTCAGACTACCCTAATAGTCTAGGGGACCTATGGCCTGGCACCGTGACCCCCCTCGGTGAAGTCAGCCTCAAGGCTGACCCCTGACCCTGAGCCCAGGTGAGAAGGCTCCTGCCCCCCAATCAGTCCATGGCACAGGGACCAGCTGGTCTATGCTAATGTATCGTGGTGCGGGGGAGCTTCCGAAGGAGTGTCCAGCCCGTCAGCAGAATACCAGAGGGTGAAGAAGACACTGGAACCCACCTAGCACCGAGGGGGCATCCTTGGGTCCCCAGGTGTCCCTGTCCTTCTCTCAGGAATCTAGAGGGCCTCATGTATGATCTAGAGGTGGGGAGAATGGGGCCGGGTGGGCCTCAGTTGGAAACTGAGGAGTCAGGCGCAAGGCTAGCAGGGACAGACAGGGACAGCTCAGGCTCTCAGGCCTCCTCCTGCCTGTTCACAGGAACCCCAGGGACCCCAGCTCCGTGACCCAAGCCCCTTCCTTGGCTGCTGAGGGGCACAGCCCTCAGCCTGGGGCATCCAGTCCTAGGGGTTCTGTGGCAGAGAATAGGCTGCAGGGCCCTCAGTCCTGCCCTGGATGGAGCTGAACATGGGCTTTGTAGGATCTAGATGGGCATTCTCTGAACACTGAATCCCACCCCCCCATACCCCCAACACCAGTAACAGTAGTACAGGGCTCCATCTGGTCCCAGAGTGACGTTTCCTTTTGACAACAACATGAAGGGTGTGGTCTTCTCTTCCCCATTTTGGGGAAATAAAATGAGGTGACTGTAAAAATTCCCGCAGCGCCTGAGGCAGCCAGACCCCAGACCCAGACCTCTGACCAACAGTCTCCCCTGTCCCCTGGGGAGGGGTCTTATGGAGGCCCCTCTCAGCCAGCAACAGCAGGACCTTAGCACCCACCACCTGGAGGATGGATGGTGAGATTAGACATGAAGGGAGAGTGCCTGACACCACGTCTGTTCTGGGCCATCCGGGATGTGTGGACACCTCGGGGAAGGGGCCTTTAGGGGACAGATCCTGAGAGGGTGACAATGAGGGAGAGAGAGGAGCAGTGCATGTGCGTCTGTGTGTGGGTCAATGTTTGTGTGTGTGTGTGTGTCTGTGTGTGTCTCTGTGTGCATCTATATCTATGCATATGCACAGATATGTAGATATGATTTTAAAATATGATAAGCACTGAAAAGATCACAATGATATGAAAGGATGCTCATATGAAAGGGTGCTCCTTTAAGGAGACGCACAAGGTCCATCTAAAAAGTATCTGGCACTGTAACCATTCTCATTTGAGCAGCCGGATGCTTTCCGGACAGCCCTCGTATGCCCTATACCACGTACCCTTGAAGGGGGTGTTGCCTCAGAGCAGAGAGGTGAGAAGGATGAGGAGTGGCCGGGCTGCCCCCTCTCCCAGTCTCCCACATCTCACAGCTGCCTGTCTGCCTCCCTGCGGATGTGATGTGGTGAAGCAGCCCCACTGTCTGGGCCTATTTGTCCAGCTGCCTGGGTGAGTTTTAATTCATTCTTCTCTGGCATTTGAATGGAGCCTTCCAGGAGGAGGAGACCCTGATGGTTAGGGTGACATCCCCATGGTCTTTGTACACTGAGGTCTTAGGACCTACAGACCTCGAGCCCTGACAATCACCACCCCCATGCAAGGTTGGTTCCTGAGGACACACCAGGGTGGAGATCTCAGCACTGGCCCCACCTCAGCCCATCAGCCCCCAGGGTCCTCGTCTCTGTGTGCTCAGGACCATGTCCCCAGGAAAGCCTCAGACACCAGGACAAAAGAGATTTGAGATCCAAGAGGAAATGATACTTGTCCTAGTTTCCAGAGCAGAGTTGGAGCAAAGACTGGTGTGACTTTTCCAGCCTTGCTCTGTCCCTGGGGCTCTCTTGTTGACTGGTTGTGGGACCTGAGCATTGTGAACTCAGGGATCTCGGGGTGCTGTGGGTGGGGGCCAAAGGAGGCTGGGAAGCCAGGGATCAGGGCATTGCCAATAAAAAGATAGTCTTTGGTGGGCTCAGGATGACAAGGTCAGTCCAAGAAGGGGAGAAGAGGCTGCCCCAGCCCTTCATAACCTTTTCTCATTCCTAGGAACCCTCAGTGAGGTCAGCCCTCCACCCACAGAAACAGGCTCCCCGACAGGTAAGTCACCTGGCAATGTGCCCAGGGGAAGTGCTGGGGTAGGGGCAGGTTCTGGACAGGAAAGTGGAGGAGTAGCTCCTATTTCAGTGTCATCTGTCAGTGACCTCTTCCTTCTCTCTCCAGCTGGCACCTCCCAGAACTACACATTGGGGAACATTGTCCACATGGGCCTGGCCGGTGTGGTCTTGCTGATCCTGGTGACGGTTCTGGCAGAAGCTTGGCACAGCTGATGGGACTCCAGTGGGGGGGGGGGCTGAAGGATGGAGACCAGAGGGCGCCCGCCAGAGAGATTAGACCCCAGGACTCAGGAGGGACATCCCCAAGGTTCTGAAGCTCACCCTGGAGCCCAAGGTGACTCAGAACCCATGTAGACTGTGTGCTTGGAGTAGCCATCAGGGATGCTGCCCAGATGGATCCAGATGCATTCTGGGAAGCGCATCAGGGAGCAGTGGTTCGGGTACCAGCCTCTCCTCAGCATGCCAGTCTCCTTTCTCCAATGATTTTTTTCTCAACATCTCATACTCATGATGATTGCCCATTGTCTCACTCTTTCCTGGGTCTATTTTTCTCCTGTTTCTAAGACAGGATCCTGTTTCCCACCAACCTCCACCTCCCTCCTCATTTTCCTGCTCCTCCCATCCTGTGTCAGGGGCTTCCCTGGCCCCGTCCAGGCCATTTCCCCAGCTTTCCCTCCTGTCCTTATGGTGACATCAGCATTTGAGGCTTCCCTTTTACACCTGACCAGACCTTGCCCATGTTGGAATCTCCCACCTCTCTCCTTCCACCTAGGGCCTCACATTCCCAGCTGCTTGGTGGGAATTGGGAACTGTTACCTTATGGCCCTGGCTTTCCCAGATACTGACACCTGTCACTAACCTGTACCAGGGTAGCCCAAACTGTACCAAGGTATCCTTGTTCTCTTCAAGTTTTTCTGTGCATAAAATATATTTTTTCATCCCTTCACTTTCAGTTCATGTGTGTCCTTAAAGCTAAAGTGTGACTTTTGTAGGCTACAGAGTTTGAACAGATTTTTAAAATCCGATCAGCCATTATGTGCTATTTGATCACAGAATTTTATCCATTTGTATTTAAAGTGATTATTGATAGGCAAAGACTTAAATCTGTCATTTTGTTATTGTTTTGCACTATTTTGTGGTTCCTATGTACCATTCTCCCTCTACTGCTGTGTCTTCTTTTGTGATCTCATAATTTTTTTCCTAGTTTTATACTTCAATTCATTTCCTTTTATTTCTTGTATATTTATTACTGATTTTATCTTTGTAATTATCATGTGGCATACATAAAATATCTTATAATCAAGGAAGTCTATTTTAAGCTGATAACAACTTCATTATATGTGAAAACTCTAACTTCTCCTTCCCCATATTTCATACTGTTGATGTCACAGTTTGATAGTTTTATATATCATGTATCCCTTAACAAATTCTTATAAATTAAATTATTTTAATTTTTTTCTTTTAGCTCTTAGCTCTTAGCTGGTAAAATCACAGCATCATCATTACAGTGTTAGAATATTTTGAATTTGACTATTTTTAATCTTTACAATGAGTTTTATACTTTCATATCTTTTAATGTAGTTAGTATCCTTTTGTTTTAACTTGAAGAACTCTCTTCAGCATTTCTATTAATGTAGTTCTAGTGGTGATGAATTCTCACACCTTTTGTCTGTAGGCAAAAGTACTTATCTCTCCTTTATTTCTGAAGGATAGCCTTACTGGACATTGTATTCTTGATTGGCAGGTTTTTTTTATTATTACCTTTAGCCCTTTGAATCAATCATCCAACTCTTTCCTGGCCTGCAAAGTTTCTGCTGAGAAATCTGCTAATAGTCTTATTGGAGTTCCCTGTATGTGATGAGTTGGTTTTCTCTTGCTGCTTTCAGAATTCTAAATTTTTCTTTCAGTTTTGAAAATTGGGTAATAACATGTCACTGTAAAGATCATTCATCCTATATCTCTGTGGGGTTATTTTGACTTCATGAATCTGGATATGCATTTCCCTCCCTGGATTTAGAAATCATTTGTTGTTATTTCCTTCAATGAACTGTGAACTTTCTGCCCCTTTCTCTTTCTCTGTTCCTCCTAGGACTCCTATTATGCATATATTGATTTGCTCAGTGGTGTTTCACAAGTCCCACATGCTTTCCTTTCCTTTTTTTTTTAATTCGTCTATCTGGATAATTTAAAACATTATTTCTTCCAGATAATTGATTCTCTCTTCTGCTTGATACAATCTGTTATTGAAGCTCTCTATGGATTTTTCATTTCAGTCGTTGTGTTCTTTAGCTTCAGAATTTTTGTTTGTCTTTTATGGATTTAATTTCTCTGTTGATTTTTAAATTTTTCTTGCATATGGTTTTCCTAATTTTAATTAGTTATCTAACAGTATTATCTTGTAGCTCACTGAGCTTCCTTATGATAATTATATTTAAATATTTTTCAATTATTTTCAGTTATAGATCTCAACTTCTTTAGAGTCGATTACCAGTGTATTATTTTAATTTTCCCTTTGGTAGTGTCATATTTCCTGACTATTTGTGATCCTTGTGTCATGCATTGGTGTCTCTACAATTGAAGAAGTAGTATTTCAGTACTTACAGACAGGTTTCATCAGGGAAAGCACTTGGCAAGTCAGCACACCTATAGATTTTGGGTGGGCCATGTGGTATAGTCTGTAGTTGGGTGTGCTGCTGGCATCTTGGGCAGTCTGGCCTTGCACTTTTGTTGGCAGGTAAATGGGCCTGGTTTCTGGGTGGTGAGGGCTGGCCTGCTGTAAGGGTTTACTGTAATGGACCTGTTGACCCAGTCTATGGGGCACAGCCTAAAGCCTGAGTCATCAGGGTAATACTTGGAGCCTGTGTCCATGGGAGATAGCCTGAAGCCTGAGTCTACAGGGGCCAGCCTGGCACTGGGGTGATCCTTGAGCCTGAGTCAGTAGAGACAATCCTGGAGCCCAGATCTGTGAAGGTTGATTGAACACCAGGGCCTACTGGGGTGGGCTTAGACCTTAGGTCTCCTGGCACTGGCCTGGAGTTTAGGTCCACTAGAGTCTGAGGCCATAGTAACTAAGATAACAGACACAGAAATACTTCAGAAAGAGGTAACAAATGAAGTAAGTCTTATAATTATCTCAGTTTGTTGCCTTGAGAGAATTTCTAGGCTTCAGTAAATGAATGGGAACTGAGGGCAGTCTCCTGAGTTGATGAGACAGAGCAAGATGTCTAGGGAGACCAAGATAGCTAGAGTTCACAGCACATAGTCCTGAAGAGAATAGCCCAGAAAGAACTGGAGACCTTCAGAGGATCCTGCCCTGTATTCATCCATGTTCTGATAATCACGTACATGCCAAGAAAATATCGCAGCCTGGGGAAAGAGTAATTTAATAGAATTAAAGAGAACAGTTTTGTGCTCACACAGGTGTGTTATTCTGTTTTGCATTGCTACAGAGGAAATACCTGAGGCTGGATAATTTATAAATAAGAAATTTATTAGGCTTATGGTTCTGCATCCCATACAAGAAGCATTTTGCTAGCATCTGCTTCTGGTGAGAGCTTCATAAAGCTTCCAATCAATGAAGAAGGCAAAGTGAGAGCAGACATGTCACATGGTCAGAGAAGGACTAACAGAAGGGGGAGGTCATGCCAGGCTTTTTTAAACAACCAGCACTTGGGCAAACTAGTGAACTAATACAGTGAGGACTCACTCCTTATTGTAGAGAGAGAACCAAGCCATTCATGAGTGATCCACCCCCATGACCCAAACACCTCCCACCAGTCCCCACCTCCAACACTGGGGATTGGATTTCAACATGATATTTGGAGAGGCCAAACATCCAAACTATTTCATTCCACCACTGGCCCCCAAATGTCTAGCCTGCCGCACATTGCAAAATACCATCACCCGCTTCCAATAGTCCCCAAAAGTTTAGCTCCTTCCAACCAACAACTCAGAAGTCCAAAGTCCAAAATTTCATCTGAGATTGAAGGTGAGTTTCTGCCACCTCTAAGCTTGTCAGATCAAAAAATATTATTTACTTCCAAGATGCAATGGTGGTACAGGCATTAGGTAAGTACTCTCATTCCGAAAGAAAGAAAGGGCAACAAGCCCCAAGAAAGTCTGAAAACCAGCAGGGCAGACATTAAATCTTAAAGTTCCAAAATGCATATTTGAAATTTTTCATCTGCCATTTTAACCATTTCATTTAAGTTGGTATCAATTGCTGAGGAGCTAGTAATTTCTTTTGGGGTTTGACATTAATTTGAATTTGGGGGAAGTATATTTTATTTTCAATAAATTTTCCTTTAAGACTAAAAAAAAATAAGGATGTCAGAGGGAGGAAGTGCTTGGGAGAAACAAAACCACACACTCAGACCCAGGGGAAAGTTGTGTTTCCTCTGCCTGTCAGTTGACAGTCTTACAAACATGTCCCAGCTTCCTTCTCCTCCTGGGATCATCTGTCCTGTGATGACCGTGTTGGCTCCTCCAGCGAACTGAGGCAGAGAGTGGAGCAGTCCTCAATTCCTTACTCACTTCTGCTTCACATAATGAAGAAACCCAAACATCTCTGCCCCTGAGTCCTCCTTACCCAGGTCCTCTGGTCCTTCACCACAGTCTAGGATCAGTTGGAGACTGGACATGTCTTATCTCCACCAATTCAGGCTCCCTCCAGGTCCCCTACTCCAGGCCCCACTCCCTGCCAATATTTATTATTCTCATAGCCCCAATCTCCTCGTTTCTGATCTTTCCCTAATCAAAATCCTTCTGCAGGTCTCCATTTTCCTCCAGTGAAGACACGAGGAAAGAGGGCAAGGTGGCTGACTAGAGACATCGCTGGCTGGAGCGTCCCAGAGGGAAGGGAGGGTTTCAGACAAAGTGGAGGGGGGAATGGGCACCACTCAGGTGTAGTTCAGAGGAAGAAGTGCCAGACCCTGCCAGGGACTTCCTGGAGGGGAAATTGTGAGGCAGAAGAAGAAAAAGAAAAAGAAAAATAGGTATTGGCAAGTACCAAACCCAAAGAAGCTCAGAGATCAGTGAAGGGGTAAGGGGGGATCCCTTTTCTCCTCCCACACAGCTTTGTAATCAGCAGGCTACTGAGTTATTAGGAAGCCTTTCCACCCTTATGAGCCCAAGCACTGTGGCAACCACTGAACAGTGGGAAGAAACAGTGTGATCCCAGAGCCTGAATGTTCCAGGCAGGGTTCCTTCCAGGGAGAGGGACCAGAGGATATGGGTCTCGGCTTCCTTCCATTCAGACCCTTTTCTTTCCTATCTTTCCCCCACCCACTGCAGCCAAGAGGGCATATTGAGACTTTTGGGAGTGGCTGCCCCTCATCAGCTGCAGCATCCTCTAGTCTGAGGTTTCCCCAGAGAGTGCGGCCCACACCTTTCTGCTTGAGGACCTGCAGTGGACCCAGGGGTGACTGGCTTGGGAGTTCCCTGCCTGTCGGCACTCCCTGGAGACACAAGCCAGCAGGTCAAACACACAGGCTGGATCCTGTGTCCCCAGGACTCAAGCAGGTTGCTAGGGGTCACAAGGGAGAGAGTTGAGAGCTTGCCTCGGGAGGCAAGAAAACCCATTCCCCAGAACAGACAGGAGAGTACATTGGGGATCTGAGCCACAGTGATCTGGGGGAGTGCCCAACCCCCATGGGAAAGTCACACTGTCTGATGAGGGTGGGTCCCCCTGTGTAAAGTTCCCAGTGCCATTGCTACCAAAACCGGGACGTTTGGGTGCCCATTTGCCAACACAGGAGTAAGTTCTCAGAGCAGGAGTAGTGAGAGAGAGGTGGAGCTCACTCTGAGAACCAGTTGGTAAATTACAGACTGCCCCTCCCCCATGATCAGTCTTTAAGTTTTGAGAGGTCACATCAGCCTCTCTCCCTGTGGCTTTTTGAAGGGGCCTGGGATATGACCTTTGAGCCCTGCCAAGACTTTGCAGAACCTTCTAGGGGTCACCCAACATAACCTAGCCAGGCTCCCTTCTCCACCAGCTTCTCTTTGACAGAGAACAAGCAATCCCCTGGGAGTGCAGGGCCGCTCCTATTGATAGGCATTCAAGGGCTTCTCTAAAGGGGCTAAATCCTATTACAGACACAAAAGGACATCTCTGCAGTTGGCTCTGTTCTGCAAGCATCAACCACTGACAAGGAGAACCACTCTACAGCCCATTACACCATCTACTGGCTCAACCAAATGGGCTGAATCCAACTCACAAGCATTGCCCACCAACTCAGAGGTTAAGCTGGGGGTCTCAATACAA